TTTCTATTTTGAATCTCTAAATCTCTTGCACATGGGTATCTTTTCAGGCCTCTCTCATCAGCAAACAGCAATTCTGAAATGATTCTTTTAAAGATATTCACAGAATTTCCAACTTGCTGTGGAAGAGCTGCCAAAAGGCCAGTGGAAATTTAGGATTATAAGGGACTTTGAGAATTCATGTAGGCTAGTTGTTTTTGTATCAAGGTGAGAGTAGAATAATAGAAGATTATGGGCATAAAAGCTGCAACCCAAAATCATGGTGACCTTAACCAGTGTTCCCTAGTGTGGGGTTCCAAGAGCTTTCACTTAGATTAACCATGGAAGGGTTGTGGAAACTCTGTACTTTAGTAATTTCATCAGCTCCAAAATGTTCAATTATCATCTCTCTGAAGATGTTTCTAAAATCCATATCTAATCCTGCTAAGCTCCAATCCCCACAGCTCCAGCTGGTAGGCTAATTAATATGCCCAAAGGCCTATCATGTGCCCAGTATGTCCAAAGTAGAATTCTTATCTTCCTAAAACACGGATCTCACCTTGTTACTCCCCTTCTCATGAAGCCTCAGTGACTCCCTGTTACTCCTAGGTTAAAATGCAGACTCCTTCACTTGGTATTTCAAGGCTTTCACAATCTGGCTGTAGTGGCCCTTCAAGTCTTATTTTACATTACCACCCTTCGCACGTTGAATAGTTTAGCCAAACTGGCAGCCTTGAGACTCCTCAAACTTGGCCGTCGGTCTCCTGTCTCTGCCTTTGCACAGACTATCTTCTGTGCCTGGAATGCACCGCCTCCTCACCTCTGCCTCTTGGAATTTCTGACTCCCTTTAAAACTCACTTTACTTACTACCACTACTACTCTACTACAACCTCAGAAGCGTTTTCTGACCCTTCTGCATATCAGTATTTTCTGCCTCCTCAAATTATTATTTACATAGTTATCTGTTTACAGGTTCCCCTCCCCTTTATAAAACCTAAACTCTTTGTGGGCAGGGACTAGTTTTCATTTTGTGTTCAAAGACCAAACCTTAAACACAATTCATTCTGAAGCTCACAGACTAGACAACAATAGGTCCCAGCCCAAGCACCACTTAATGGCTATTTTGGGGGCCCTCCCAGCTCAGAGTGAATGTAAATAGTAAATGTTTCTCTTTTGGCCAACAGCCCTGAGGGTCTTCCCCTCCCAGTTTGATTTTTTTTTTTTAATTAAAGGGGCCATCCCTTGACTCACTTCTTAAAGAGGCCTATTCACTGAATGGGCATTACCTCACTCAAAGTGAGAACCTGAAAAGACCTTAGCTTAAAAGGGCCAGGGTCTCCCACTGCATACTGGGCCATCTCTAGTCTTCCTGATGAATATCTGGACACTGGACCCAGATGGCTCTAGAGAAGAAAGTAAGGCTGGTGATTTTGCACAGCCCTCCCTCATTCAAATCAAAGTCAATTGCAAGTCATGTCATCACTTCCTAATGTCATGGTCCTCTTTGAAATGAAGGACAAACACAACAATCCCAGCACCTAACTCATATATATGCATGGGTATATATGCATGTAGTAGGTGCTTAACAAATGACTATTGGATTGGGTTGGATTGGAAATTACTGCTATGACTAGTAGCCCTCAAAACAGTCCTGACCCTGAATCAATAATGAGCAGTCAGACTGCCTGGGGACAAAAAGAAAAAAGACAAAAGGAATTTTGCTACCTTTATCAGGCCCCACCCTTGTTTTCTGGTCATTTCAGCTGTTAAAGGTTCTTTTGTTACTGTGTTGGAGGTTGGGGGAGAGCAGGCCTGTCATAAACTTATGGGGTTAAGGGTTGGGGGGAGATGAGCTTTATATGCCTTCCTATCACAAAATGCTATCAAGAGTTTGAAAAACTAAAGAGACAAGAGCATGTACCCATCCAGTAATTAGTTCTTTCTACACTGATTTGAATGAAGAAGGTACTAATCTTTGATAAAGAAACTTTATCTATCCTTAGTCCAAGATTCATCATTAATGACACCAGCTGCCTTCTTTCAAATTTCCTTTTCCCAATCCCCATAATGTTCATGCCTTGCCTGTGGTTATCTCTGCTTCATCCTGTTTATATCCTGTATGTACATATCTTGTTTGCATATTGTCTCCCTCATTATACTGTGAATGCTGTGAGAGCAGCCAGTGTCTTCTGCCTTTCTGTATATCCCCAGTATTTAGCCAGTGCTTGGTATAGTGTAGGTGCTTAATAAGTGCTTACTGACTTGATGCCAAAAACTAGCTGGATGAGATGATACATAAAGGAAAGAGTATTAAAGTTTTTTACAAGTTGAACCAGTGCTGCAAGTCAAACAACTTTATTCAGGATACTGAAATTTCAGATGACTATTATTACAGAGATTAATGATTAACAGAATTCGCTTTGGTCAGAAATTTTCCATCTATAATGTTAGCCTAACAGTGATAGTGGGAGGTAGAAAGAAGGGGAGGTAGTGTTTTCTCTTTAGGTTAAATTGGATAGGTTTTTTTTTTTTAATTCTAATGTGTTTATGAGTTTGAAATAATATTTGATTCAAAAGAAAAAGGGAAATTTTCATTTAGGACACATAACATTCAAGTGCTGAACATTCTGATCATCAGTTTTTTATGTGAGTGGGTCATTTCACAAAGAATAAAATGTGGATTTTTTAATAACTTCCTTTCATTTATTTGTGCCACACTTATCTCAAAGTAACAGATATGGACAGATGGCTCATATTTCTACAACTAAAGTAATGTTATTTGATATATGAGTTATTAAAAGATGGATTGATCCTATAATAAAAGTCCTGCTCTTCAAGCTTCGGTAAAGTAAAATATATCAATAGTCTTTGAGGTTATGCAGGCTACAGAAAATAAAGCTTTTGACTCCATTAGAGGCTATTTTATTCTACAAGAAAGATCGCCATTCATTTAAAAAATTCAATAACACAATTCAAAAACCAAATCATTTTTGAGGTCCATATCACCACCTTTTTAAGAAAATCAAAACAAAGCAAACAAGACTTGTAATGAGAGCAGAAGTTCTCTTCTCCATGTGCTTGCTCAGGATGAAAGTAGCCCAGCCCTATCTCAGTAAATTACGAAATGTAATGTCCTCCCTTGAGTATTTAACTTAATATCAGAGAAGGACTTGGACACTTGGGAGAACTTGGTTCAGTTTTGCAGAACTAGTTGCTGCAGAAAGCAACATTTGGGACTTGACTGTTTCTCCATCAGTACTAAGAGTGGGAGACTGACTTTTTCTTCTCTTTCTAACTGATGCCTCTACAGGTGAATCACCAAAAACCTTCCAAGATTTAATAAAATAAATTCTAGTAGAACAATTTTGCACAATGATATAGTATACAGGGAATTCTCCTTAACTATAATTCTGCCATATTGTTGTTGTTGAGTCATTTCAGTTGTGCCTGACTCTTCAAGACGCCATTTGGGGTTTTCTCGGCAAAGATACTGGAGTGATTTGCCATTTCCTTCTCTAGCTAATTTTATAGATGAGGAAACTGAGGCAAACAGGGTTAAGTGACTTGTCCAGGGTTTCATAGCTAATATGTGTCCAAGGCTGGATTTGAACTCATAAAGATGAGTTTTTTTGACTCCAGGCCCAGCCATCTATCCACTGCACCACCTAACTGCCCCTCTGCACTGCTATCCATGAAATATTAAAACAATCAGAAGGCCTTCAGCACATTGGGCAGCTCCTCTGTGAAGGATTTGTGGTATGCCACAGATAAGAATTGCATGGCTATCTGGGAGATCACCCATCCTTTGACATGCCAGAGTTTTCATGATTTGTATCATAATATGAGGCCCAACTGTGTAATCCAACAAAAAGGAATCCTATTATAGGATCAGAGCTTTAGGGCTAGAAGGAAATGTAGAGCCCACATCCTTCATTTCACAGATGGGAAATTGAGGCCTAGGGTCACACAGCTAATAGGTTTCTAAGGGAGGATTGGAACTCAGGTTGTCCTCATTCCAAATCCAGTGCTCAATCCAAATCCACTGATTTGCATTATTATTTTGAAATTTGATCTGGAGGCTATTAAAGTACTTTCAGTTTTTTGAGATTACATTGAAGTTTGGGATATAACAATTGTTATTAAATGCCACTCTAGAGAAGGCTTTTCCAATTGCTTTTGAGTGGCCCAGTTTGCAAGCCTCTTTCGAAAGAGAATCATTATATAGTGAACTTTTACAGATTTGATAATAGCAAAATATAGCAAACCAGAAAATATAATCTTAAAATAAATATAATATTTGCATTAGGTTGTTGTACCCTTTATATGTAGTGATAAAAATTAAAGCTTGTAGCATTGTATGTCTTATCAATTCCTTAAATTAAATTAAATTTTTTCCATTATGGCAAGTCATAATTTGATCCACAGTAAATGGAAAATGTGCTTTGGTTATAGCTTAATTCCAGTGTTAATTGGAATGCTATGATTGGAATATATCTGACTTATTTCCCAAGATTTCATTTTTCAGATGGAGGCCATTCACAAACAGGACCTAAGAGAATCTCTCAGGTCCTAAAAAACCATATTGGTTGACTTGAACTCCTCTGGCATGTTTCCAGTTGAAATATCATGAAAGTTTGTTGTAAGGGACTCTGCTTAAAGCAAAAAAAATACCCTGCCATGGAGTGCTACAATAATGCTTAGAGACTTCAGCAATTGTTTTCCCCCTGGGGATGCAAAACAAGATTTCACTTTATCTAGGCAGGGTAACAAATTTTCTTCCTGGCAGAAATATTGTTGACAGACCTCAGTACCATGACTCACTGGCCAGAAAAGAGTTGCTTTGGAAGAAGACAGCATGCTTTCTTTGGGGAGGTTGGTCTGTAGCAGAAAGATACCTCTTACATACAGATTTCAACTTGGGGATTGATAGCGGGGTAACTGAGCAGAGATACTGAAGCAATTTGAACCCATCTCATTTTTATGAAATAGACTCCCTCAGAACAACTGACTCTTTCTTTTTTAGGATTTCTCACAGCAATGAGGCAAGAAGTGACTCGAGCCCACAAGGGCTGGGCCTTGGATTCAGTGACAATCCACAACGATGTACTGAGACAAACAAAAGAAGAGATCACAGTGCCACCTTTGGTATGTACTGTAGGGCTTCATTTGGTAATTGCTGGGAATCTAACTCAGAAGGCAGGGCTCTGATTTCTAGCCCTGCTCCATGACTTTGGAGGGCCTCCCCGTGAACCTGCCACCACCTTATCCCTCCCTTCTGTTAAGATTCATGAAAAGGCATGTCAAATACTTGGAGCTCCTTACAGAGAAGTCCCCATAAATATGAGCCAATATGTGATTGGAAGGGGCCCAGAATACTGCAGTCCAGTACAGGCTAGTACTTAACCCTTCATATCTAGTCTGAAAGGGGCTTGTCCTCTCCATTGTTAATGCTAAGGGACCTAGTCAGGAAATTCTTTGCATTTAATCTCAGTCTCTCTTGATATAAGTTCAAACCCGTTCCTCTTCTTTAGTCTTTGATGGAATTCCATAAACTGTTCTCCAGTTTAGGGCTCTAGTTACAGGTTTATCATTAAGTTATTCAGTTGGAAAGACTTTAACACCTTCCCCTCACTTTAGGTGCCACATTTTAGAAAAGGCAAGAAAAACTGAGATCCATGAAGGGAAAATGATACAACCTGTCAGTGACAGAGCCAAGACTGGAACCAAGGTCTCCTACTGGAGTCCTCTGCTCTTTCCCCGAGCTCATACTGCTTCCCAACTAAACTATAAACTCCTTGAAGTTAAGGACTTCCCCCTGAATGCCTGAGACTGTTTTGAATATAGTAAATGGTCAGAAAAAATGTTTCTTAATTTACTGAAGGGTAGGTTAAAATTTAGGCTATGTAATCTCAGATCTTTTCACTTTTTCTTGCATGTCCTATTCTCTTATTAGTCACAGAATCCTAGGACTGAAAGGATGCTGAGAGGTTATTTAATCCATACTTCTTTGCCTTCAGACAGTTACCTTAAACCCTTCTCTGTCAAATGATAATCTCATATTGTTCAAAGTCTCTGAAGGGAAAAAGATTATGCAATGGTAATCCATCATGAAGTTCTATTTGTTTTAAATCAAGCCCAAATCTCACATCCTGCAATTTAAACAAATTTTTCATAAAATTATAGATTCAAAGAGCTAAAAGGGACCTCACCTCACCTCATCTAACTTCAGCTGTGTAGTGGCTATCTAACCCTGAATGTCCATCCAGTGTCTGCTTGCAGACCTCCTCTAATGATGTGTGAACTAAGATCCTCACCCGACATGGCTACCAAGGCCCACTGGGGACACCTCTGATATTAACAGGAAGATTGTCCTTATGTTGAGCTAAAATATACTACTGGTAATTTTCCACCCTTGGAGTCTAGTCATGATGTCGTGAGTAAACAAACAAAACAAGCTCTCTTCTACATGAGCATCCCTCCAGTATTGGAAAATAATGATTGCGTCCTCCCTAAATCTTTTTTTTTTCTTGTCTAGGCAATGGGGTTAAGTGACTTGCCCAGTGTTATATGTCTGAGGCTGGATTTGAACTCAGATCCTCCTGAATCCAGGGCTGTATCTACCACCTCGTTGCCCCATATCCTCCCTAAATCTTGAAAGGCTGTGTAATATGGTGGAAAGAGTGTTGGGCTTAGAAGCAGGAGAAATCTGAGTTCTAATACTACTTTTGGTGCTTACTAGCGGTAGGATATTGGACAAGTCATTCAACTTCTCTAAACCTCAGTTATCTAATCTGGTAAATGGGGATAATAACACAGTGCCTATCTCATAGGGTTGTAGTGAGGGTCAAATGAGATGATGTTTGTAAAGCACTTTGCAAACCTTAAAGTGCTATAGATGTGTATATTGTTAAAGTCTAGACTCTAGGTCAATGTTTACTAGTTCTTTGAACTGCTCTTTAGAGGGTGTGATCTCCAGATCCCTCCCCATCCTGGTCGCCTTCATCTAGAAGTTCTCTTAACTTGTTAATGCCTTTTCTAAAATGTGGCACCTAAAATTAGACTCAGTGCCCCAGATATGGTCTGAGCAGAGTAGACTAAGCCCTCCATCCCTGTGGACATTACACATCTATTATGGCAGCCTAAGATGACACTAATGTCTTGGATCACTGCATTAGGCTGCTGACCCCCGAGGGAACCTGAATCCTGCTTCCTTTGTGCACTAAAGTCGACGTTTTCCACACCAGTGCAGTATTTCACATTTATCACTATGCAATTTAATCTCATTCTCTTCCATCTACTCTATCCAAATTTACTGAGATCCTTTTCATCATTCTCCTTTGGAAATGGTTAATGGTTACTATGCTAGAGAATCATTGAGTTGGAATCTTCAAGTTCCAAGCAGTCTTCAAAACCGTTTAGTTTAAAATGACAGATGAAGAAACTGAGGTCCAGGGACGAGTTGTGACTTTCCCCAAACATACAGTTACTCAGGGGTTGAGTCAGGACTAGAATCCACCCCTTTCTTTTGCTTTCTAACCTAACTCCCTTTCCAGTATACTATCCTGCTCCCTATAATTTTTTTTCTAAATAAAATGGCATGCCCTTGGATTCTACATAGTAACTCACTAGCACCTTAAGCATCATTTCCTGGACCCAAACTCTTCTGTCCTTACCAGAGGCTGTTAGCAGTAGTTCCTCCTTGCTGTCCAGAGGAATTAGGTCCACTTCAGCCTCTGTATTGCCCAACATGAGAACCATGACTGATGGCTTGCAGCCTTTCCAGAAGGACTAGATTGGAGATTCACTCTCAGTGGACTAGTCCAATCTACTTTTGTGACTTTGCACTATTCAGTGGCTTTATATCAAGAATAAGAGAGTAAGTCCCCCCTTTAAATGTAAAAAAATGGCATAAGGATTCTTATGATGTAGTTATTTTCCCTCAGGATAGGTTGTGCCTCCATTCTTCTATAAACTGGGGAGAATTCAGCTCAACATTTGACTATCCTTCATGCTTTGCATGGTATTTTTAGATTATATCATAGGATTTAGAATAGCATGAACCTTTAAAAAAAAAAATCTAGTCCTATAAAAGCTGTAACCAGCATGAGATGACCAGATCTTGGTCCCAGGGTGCTATCATGGTGGGAGGAGGGGAGACAGGCTTCTTCCCTTTGATGACCACTGTCCTAATCCCCTGACAGACCATACTGCTGTGGTAAAATTATCCCCAGGTCCCAGTCATTTGGCAACTCTCTCTCACCTTTCTCCCAAACCCTCCTCCCAAAGGGGTGAGGCACCACGCTCAGAGTACAGTTGTACCTTTCCATTTCCTCAGTTCCTCTGAATTTGCTCTGGGCATAAGAATGCCTCACTATAGCTCTGAAACTAATACCCTCATTCAATGGTTATACTCTAGCTTTTTCCTTTCCCCAAGTTTGAAGGCTTTTCATAGGTGATCATTTCTCAATACTTGACATATTTTTAAGCTATAGATTCCCTTGTGTTTTGTTCCCTCAGGAAGGAGTATACATTCATGGACTGTATTTAGATGGAGCTGCCTGGGACAGGAGGAATGGCAAACTCACTGAATCAACCCCAAAGGTCCTCTTCACACAGCTTCCAGTGCTCCATATATTCGCTATCAACTCCACAGCTCCCAAGGACCCCAAACTCTATGTGTGTCCTATTTACAAGAAACCACGGAGGACAGATCTAACCTTCATCACAGTGGTATATTTGAGGACCATCCTGTCCCCAGACCACTGGATTCTGAGAGGAGTGGCCCTCTTGTGTGATATCAAGTAAATTCTGTCCCAGCCACAGCAAGGTCTTCATCCCTGCTGATGGCACTGAACCACATGACTTCCCAGTTCTGTTGGTTTTCTTTAGAGAATGTGATGTTTTATTTTAAATTATGATAATAATTATTTCCTTCTATGATATCCGTATTGCACTTTTAAAATACCATATTGACTGGTTGGCATTCCGTACTCTACTTTTTTTTTTCCAGCAACAATATCCAACATGCAAATTCTAACTTTGCTTTTTTTTTATTTCTAAGAATCAGTGGAGGCATTCATTCCACTGTAATGAGTTTTATAAAGATGGATCTATCTTTAACTTAGAGGGTTTTTATTAAGTATGATTTGAAAGAGCTAAAAACCAGGTAATGACTTATTCAGTTCCAAAATTAACTTTCACCTAGGCAAATTTTCCTCCAAATAAAAACAATTTATTGTTATGCCATCTGAGTGTGAGTCTGTGTTAATGTGAGGTTCTGAAGGTTTCTGGTTTAGTATTCCTGCTCTGTATGTTAACTGGTACTCAAGAACCTAAGATAGTTCCATCCCCTCGAGAGAAAAAGCTGGGGAGGAAATGGAGGAGGTGACAGAGGGGAAGAGGGGGTAGGTGCCAGGGTGGGCAGGTTACAGCTTTTTTTTCTGTGGAGTTTTTCAATTCCCAAGAACGCTGAAGTGTCCCAGGATTTCCTCATTGTCATAAGCAGGTACAATTTCCAAATAACAGCTAGAGGTCCCACCAAGCACACCTGGTAACATGCTGAATGCTCAAGAGTCAAAAGCCTTAGAAGTCACTGCTGCTTGTCCTGCAGCCCAGTTAGGACTAAGCGTGATCCTTCCTCACTGGAGGAAATGTCAGCTGCACAAAAGCAATGGTGTCCTATTTTGCATATTCATGCACCTACACTGTAAGGAAAAATACATTCTGTGAAGCTCCTACTCTGATCTTCCCATTTAGAATTCCTCTGAATACCAGCTACATTAACAATCCTGTCTCGTTGCTCCTGCTAAGGAAGGAGTGAGCCTTTGATTTTCATCACCATCTTTCCCATCTGACCATCTGTCAGACTCTTCCTGCCTGTGTGAAGAAGAATAAAGAGGGCAAAGCAGTAGTATGTTGCGTGCCTTATGAAATGTACAGAGAAAATCCTAGGGGAAATTCCGGAATTTGTATTAAAATATTTTCAGACAGTAGAAAAGTGTTTAAGAAATGCAAACAGTAGCAGTGAGTGCCTAGGGGTGTGCTTAATCCAGATTTAAATCTAAAGCTTAAATCTGCCCTAAGACTTTTGGGACACCCTGTATAAAGGCTATAGATACTCCCATAATGGATTGTTGTTGTTGTTGCTGCTGCTGTTGTTGTTGTTGTTTTAAGTCATCAGACGGAGTGTTGCGATTCTTTTCTAAGTCCAAGCAGACCTGAAACAAAAGAGTGGTTATACATGATCTTCTAAGCAAGTGTTTTGTTTTGTTTTTAATATAAGACAGTATTAGCAATCATCAATGCTTACTCACCAGAGCAAATCACAGAGTACTGTCGCTAAGTCACATAAGTACTGAGAAAAAGCAGTCACACATGCACCTGCCATTTTAAAACAATGACTTTTATAGTTCCCAGTAAAACATAGACATTGTCCTGCTTACCTTTATTTTTCAAATAAGTATTTTTTATTAATCTATCTCTCCCAAACCCAACACACAAACACAAACATTCAACAAATTGTTAAATAAAATAAAATAAAAATGCCTCAATACATATCTACAGTCTGGCAAAATAAATTCCCACATTAGCCATGTCCAAAAATGTATGTCTCTTTCGGCATTTTAAGTTTATCACTTCTCTGGCAAGAAGTGAGGGGTGTGTTTCATCTTCATTCTTTTGGACTTATGGCTTATCATTTCTGTAATCAGAGTTCTAAAGGCTTTTAAAGTTTTTTTTTTTTCTATGACATTGATGTCACTATAAATTACTCTAGTTCTGCTTGCTTTGCTCTGCATCGGTTCATAAAGGTTTTCTCCATTTCTTCTGAAATTTTCCATTTCAGCATTTCTTGTGGCCAAAACTTAACACATTTTGCTGAAAGTGTGTTCTAGTTGCCTTAAGCTTCAATAGCTTGTAGTTGTAGGAAGGGTTCCATAGAATTCCAGACGATAATATTTTCAAACATCTCTAATACCTAATGGAAAATTTGATGATAAATGAAAACAGCATTGACAGACATTAGAGCTCAGGTCAGTGCTGTGACCAGTTGTGACTTCAGGGAATTGTTGATGAAACATAGATACATGGTGGACTCCAGGTGTGGGATTAGGCATATATTGCCAATATGTTGATTTGTTTTGCTTAGATGTACATCATTGTTATTAAGGTTTTGTTTGGAGGAAAGGGAAAGGAGAGTCATTAGGACACCATAAAAAAAAAAAGTCAGAGAAAAGTGTAATTTGGAAAAAGAAATCCACTTATTCCTCCCTTTTCAGTTCTGAGCAACATTGGCAATAAAACTTGCTATGATGCCTTAAAAAAAAAAGAAAAAAAACCCTGAGGAAATAAATAAACAACTTATTTGCATGTAATATCAACATGCCAATTGAGAGCTCTTTTTGCTTAATGCTGCATGGATAGCTGCATTTCTTGAGATCTCTCAATACTATCACTGCCCTTTCATGCGCCATGGAAGAAGGAATGAAAGGGGAGAGTGAGAGAGTTAAGAGGGCCTATACTCAACCAGAGAGGCTCATCTTTGTTTCTAAGCTGGTACCTTTAGGCTTCTCCATGCTGCCAGGAATGACTCTGAATTATCTTGGATTGGTGCTTTCATTCTTAACTGACTCTGTTGCAATGGAGGCAAAAGCCCCAAGTGCCTTTTCTCTTCATAGATTTAGTGACCTTCTTTTAAATAATATCTTACATTTATTATAACGGCCATAAAGGCTGTGGAGGGCTTAGAACTTGGTCAGGCATCAAAAATGCCAAGGTCATCCACTGCATCCCAGACCATCACCAGTTGTCTTGACTTTTGTCTTGCCATGGGACTTGGATGACTGGAAGAGAGAGTGAGGAGGCTGACAATTTTGTGCAATTCTGCCTCTCTTAAATCCAATTCACTCACAAGTCAAGACATTATCCGTGATATCACTGGTCCTCTTCAAAAACAAAAAACCACAACCAACAGCAACAGCAGCTTACATTTATATAACAGTTAAAGGTTTGCAAAGGGCTTAACATATATTATCTTGTTTGAGCCTCACAACCCTTTGAAGTAGATGCTATTATCTGTCATTCCAACATATAAGGAAACAGAGATTAAGTCACTTGCCCAGGGTCACACAGCTAATATGTATCTAAAGCAGTATTGGCATTCAGGTCTTCCTGACTCTAAGTCCAACACTCTTACCTATGCATCACCCAATTGCCACTGTTGTTAATTATTAATATATATTAACCATATATATCTCTGAATCATGAAATCTTGACCCATTTAACTCTATAAACACACTCATTTTCTCTACAGAGTTGTTAATGGCACGATTTGCCATGCTTTTTAAAAGAGGAATCTAGCGAAGGTAATGAGCAGAGAACTAGGAATATTTTAGTAAAGCCTTTTGGAGATGGGAGACAGAAGAATATGGGTGCATTTTCTCTTCTCTGAAAACCCATGTAGCCTTGTCTTGGCCCTGCTACAATGTATGGTGAGATTTATGTATTCCTTAGTTTAAAAAATATAATTTTAGTTTGGATGTTATGAAAATGTGACCAAAAGAAAAATCTCTTGTATCACATCCTATAAGAAATAACTGACTAATTTTCTCAAATGGCTTTTTGAATTGGAATTCCTTTGGAATTTTAAATTGGAATTCCTTAAATTCTTTATTCACTCAACAAATATATAATGTGTAAAACATCAAAGGAAATCACAGGCTCATAGGTCTATAGCTGGCAAGCACCACAGTGGACATGTAATCCAACCACCTCATTTTGCAGATAAGGAAACTAAGACTCCATAAATTTACGTGAATTGCTTCAAATCACACAGGCAGGACTTGAAGTCAGATCCTTTGATGTCAGAGCCAATGTTCCTTCCCCTGTACCACACTGTGTCCTAATTAAAGAAGAATTTATTTATGTAAAGTGTTACGCTAGATTCTGGATATCCAAAATTTCTCTGCTCACCAGTTACACAAACAATATGAATAAAAGTGAGCTTAATGCAAAGAAAGTCCCAGGCAAAGTTCTAAGACAAATCTAATAAAAACAATAGGGTTCGTAGCCTTCACTGAGCTCATAACCTAATAAGGAAGATAAGACACATATAAAAACAACAGTGTGTGATATGAAAAATCCTGCATTGGGAGTCGGGATCTAGGCTAGAATCCTAGCTCTTATCCCATTTGAGTATCCTTGAGAAAATGGATTTCACTTAGGCAAACCTCAGTTTCCACGTACAAGAAATAGAAATAATTATGCTGCCAACTTCATACGATTTTTGTGAAAGGAAAGCACTTTGTAAACCTTTCTGTGCTAATGCAAACCTGAGTTATTATTATAATATAAGGCAACATGTGAAAAGTGCCAGACAAAATGATATAGGAATTCAGAGATAGGGGAAGGTCACTTCCTAATGGGGAAATTAGGAAATCTTTCCCAGAGGAGTGAGGCGATTTATGTTGAAGGAATGGTAAGCTTTCAAGAGGTGAATTTAGCAGAGAGAGCATTTCATCTTCTACAGGAAAATTTTCCCAATCCCTCTTAATTCTAATGCCTTCCCTCTCAATTATTTCCTATTTATCCTGTATATAGCTTGTTTGTACATACTTGTTTGCTTGTGGTCTTCCCGATTAGATTACAAGCTCCTTAAGGGCAGGGACTTTTGTCTCTTTTTATGTCCTCAGTGCTTAGGATATAGTAGGCACTTAATGTTTATTGATTGACAGAATGAGATGGAGAGATGGGCATAAGCAAAGACACAGATATGAGAAAGCATAGTATAGAAATGTTGAGGAAATGGTTAGTAGGTTAGTAATAGCTAGAGATCATTTAATCCAATCCATTCTCTTTTGTAGATGATGAAATTGAGGCCAAGAGACTAAGTGATTTGTTTGCCCCATGTCACACAGGTAGTAAATAGCAGAGCCAGCATTTGACTCTCCCCTCCCAACCTGTGACATTCCCTCCACAAACGAATGAGATTTTGAGCTTTGGTGGCCAAGAGAATAGACTGTACCATCCACAGAAATAGGAGACTTTCTCATTCTGGTCTGGTGGGGAAGATAATGCTGTGGGTTTTACACATGTTGCCTTTAGGTGCTGAAAGGATATCCGAAAGAAGATGGCCAACAGACAGTAGGAATGTAGAATGACAATATGGAGAAAAGGCAGAACTGTAGATACAGATTTGAGAATC